TGGTCAGAAGAAGTAATACAAGGACACTCTCAAGGTCTCTCTTAAGAACTTTGGAATTGCTTGTGTGACATGGGAGATACTGGCACAGGGCCACCCAGCGTGGCATGCCCACATTAGAGAAGGTGCTGTGCTCTATAAGCAAAGCAGAATTGAAATAGCTCAAAAGAAACGCAAGATGAACAAATTAGAGAATCCAGCCCAAATGTTCACGTGGCCTATGTGTGCCCCATCTGTGGTAGAGCATTCTGAGCTCGTATTGCTCTGATCAACTACAGTCAGAGGAAGTGTGACTTGCCCAGAGTCATGGCAGAGTGATGTCATTTTGGTCCTCTTGGGGGAAGAAGGACAACAACTAGCTAACCTGCCTTTCTAATTCTAGGAGGGAGTAGTTTCTACACCAAGACTATTCTTGATTTCTCAAAATCCTCATCTGACCACATGGTCTGTTTTATGTTCTGATGGCAAAAAAGCCCCATTTCTGTTTCTTCCTCCACTGATCTTCACCCAAATTCTCTCCACAATGTGTCTTCTCCAACCTGGTTCTTAGATTTCATCATGTGAGTATACTTTCTTATTATAAAATGCTACCTCCCCTCCTTTTACTTTGTTTCATGGGAATTAAGTGTCCAGAACTATGGTTTCAGTCATAGGTTTCACTTCATTAAGTCTTAGTAACATCTAAAGTTGGAAATTGCCCTTTGTTGTAGGATGTCCAGCTGTTTATTGCCTGAACTTTGGGCATTTGTCTATTGACATTTAATGTCATGCAACTTACTACTATGGATTTTGTCTTTTCTTGGATTTTGTCTCCTGAGAACTTCTCAAACATCTCAACTGCAGTTCTTATTCTTTCATTGTAGGTGCATTTTGTGGTTTCTAGCTTGATAGATACAAATAGGAAGCTTTCTCCCTCCTCAGCCTAGCTTAATTTAAAACTTCTTTATTATGTTTGCCAGAAGACGACCTTTCTAGCTTCAAAAGGTCCAGAGAATTTTGGACCTCCCATCATCCTACCAGCATCCAATAAACAGCCCAGGTCCATTGGCAGCATTGTCTGTATTAGGAGCCAAGGAAAGAGTGGACCAAGATTCAGGTTTCCACAAGCAGCCCAGCAAAGAAACTACATTGTGCCTAAGGGAAACTTCCTGAGTCACCCACAAATGGGAGAAAAGGACTACCAGGAACCAGGAGCTATGTTTCCACTTTGCCATGTGTACTTTCCTTTTCCTCCACTCTATGTGTTAGTGGAAGACCCTGTCACAAACATTTGAGGGAATGTTTCTACTAACTGTTCTTATTGTACCATCTTAATAAATATCCATGACTAAAATGATTCTCCAGTAATAATCTTATGGAGAAACACATTTGGAGAAGGATGGGATTGAACCAATGGCATGAATCACTCCAGCTCCATGGGGGGACTCTCTAGACTCCTCAGAAAGAAGTATATCCTTCCTCTGAGACCTAAGGCTTATCTGTGAGAGTCCAATAAGTACCATCAGAGGTTATATGTGCCACATTTTTATTTTCAGCCATGGCCCAGGAGGCCAAATCCTTTTCTCAGATACCACCTCCTTAGCCAACTGTTAATTTTGCAGATCAATTTTTTTCTCATCTGCATATCTTGCTTGAATAGACAATAGTAAAGAAAGATAAATGGTGCCTCAGTACTCTGAAATATTTTTTCCCTAAACACCTCATAAATTTTGATGACATTTATTGGTTTCTGTCTTGCAGCATCATTTTTGCCGTTACAAATCACCAAAAGTGAGTGGGCATCATCTGTTTTGATATCTTGGAAGGTTTTCTGTTAGATAGTTTAGCTGCATGCCCAGAGAAGACAAACCCATATCAGATTTCTTCATTATTGTTACCAGACCAACCAATAGCTGCCTCAGTATTTCTTGGCAAGAAATCCCCAACCACCACTGCTTTTCACTTTGGCCTTTCACCGTTCTAATGGCTGCCATGACTCCACTGGCTCATTCTGTGGTGGACAGGAAGATGCTGCATCCTCAGACTGACCAGATCTCTCTTCAGGAAGAGTCTCAAACATTTTTTTTGTTAAGGTCTAAAATATGTCCCTTATAAATCTTAAATTATATATATATATATAAATTTATATAAATAACAATATGCCTGTGGTATCTTTTAGGAGAAGCAGGATGTTGCAGTACATAAAGTACTGTACTTGGATTGAGAAAGATGTTTGTTTGAATCCCTAATCTAACACTTACTAACTGTGACCCTGGACAAGTCACTTGACTACTATGAGATTCAGTTTCTTCTCTGTAAAATGAGAACAGTAATACCTGCAGTCCCTACCTCATAGGATTGTTTTGAGGCTCAAGGGAAATAACATATGCATAAAGAGCTTTATAATCCCCATAAATGTTAGCTGTTATTATTGTTGTTAGTTATTATTAGGACCACTCAAGAATTAGAGCTGGCTATGTAGGTAGGAGTCCAAAACAAATCAGCAGCAAACAGAACTCATATTTTCCCACTTTGCCTCTAGCTGTTCCCTCTACCTTGATGCCTTCCCCTAAATGAATCTGTGAACACTATTCATCCTCCTAGGTTCTAAATTTGTAGTGCATTGATTTGGGGTCAGAAGAAGGTTCCAAAAACTGGTTACATCCTGGCTGATAAACAGCATATATACACACATACAGATACACATGTGTATATATGTATACATCTACAGATGTGCACATGGGTATGCAATAATATAATATACATGTGTATATATACACATGTATGCATATATAAAACATATTTTATATATAACATACACAGGATATTTATGTATTAAATATATTGCATTCTTTGTAAAATATAGTATATTATACATCAGCGTGAATATGTGTATGTTTGTATACCATATATGCATACACATTACATCTATACATACATATATGTGTGTGTGCCTGTGCTCAAGTGCATAGAGGCACCTGGATGCATTCTCTCATAACCACAGGCACTACTTAATCACATAATAACAATAACGATAATAATGACGATGTCAATAATAATACTTATTTATATATTAATAGACATATGGTCCATGTGAGATACTCACCAAGGTGGAGGGTGGAGAGGGAGGGGTATGTGTGTATGTATGTATGTATGTATATGTGCATGTGTGTGTATGTATATATGTATATATATACATATATATATACATATATACATACACACACATATATGTATAGATATGTGTCTATATTAGTACCTCCTTCTTGACCTCTTCTCCCATCGGCATCCTCCTTCTGGTTATGAAATCATAATCAAATGTCTACAATATTTATTTCAAAAGACATATCAATTTCCATTCACTATCTCTTAACTTTCCATATCAAAGCACTCCCCTAGCCTCTATTCCACTCTGTGTTGTTTCCTTTCATTAGAACTTTTGCTTCTTCAACACAAGTGCTGTTTTCACTTTTGTATATGCATCTCCAACCCTAAACATAGTGCTTGACATATAATAAGAATTCGATAAATAATATTCATTCATTCATTCACAGGGCCTAACACTTAGCAATTGCTTATCGATCCCACATGACAGACCTGTGGATGTTAATGAAATTTGAGGTTCAGAAAAGCCAAGTGACTTGTCCAAGTCACAAGGCTAGTCCATATCAGAGTAGAGAATTTCAGACACCTCAATAGTTTATTCTTCTAAGCCAGAGTTATCAGCCATGGTCCATAATGCTCTCTAGTGCCTCCAGAACCAGATTAAAATGTAATTGGGAAGTATTCAACAAAATAAATAAAAATACGATAAAACATAGATAATACTAAGATGTGATTTTCTAAGTATATTTGCACCCTGTCAGGATCCTCATAATTAGTTTCACGGCCCCTGTTTCTATCAGAGCTGGACATCATTAATCTAGGTAGGCCTGGGGTTCTTGACCTGTTTTGTGTCATGGGCCCATTTGGCAGTCTAGGAACCTTCCTCAGAATAAAGTTTTTGTATAATTGAAGGAAGTGCTAAATTTCAATTATAGGCTACTGAAAATAAAGATGCATTTTTGTTTCCAATCCAGGTTCAGAAACTCATTGAAACTTATTCACAGACCCTCCCAACTCCTACAAGAAAGAAGTCCATGAACCATTGAACTTATAAGTGGAGGAGCTGAGACTTGAACCCCCTACCTCTAATTTCCAATCCAGGTCTCTTTTCCCTTCAGGACAAAGCAAATAAGTAAGTGGCACAGTGGATAGAGCACTGGTCTTGAAGTCAAGAAGATCTGCATTCAAATCTGGTTTCAGACACTCAAAAGCTATGTGATCCTAAGTGAGTTACTTAACCTCTGTCTGCCTCCATTTCCTCATTTGTAAAATGGGGATTATAATGGCACCTACCTCCCAGGGTGATTGTGACGCTAAAAGGCCTTAAAACTACTATATAAATGCTGTTTATAAATAGTATTATAAATATTATAATGTATAGTAATAATGGATGGTAATGATGATGTGATTAATCAGTGCTTGTGGTGCCAGAGAATGCAAACAGCTGCCTCCATGCACTTGAGTGCACACATGCATGCACACGCACACATGCACACACACACACACATGCACATGCACACATGCACACACATGCACACACACACGCACACACAGAGGAAGCAGCTTCTTCTTTCAGGGAGGCAACAGCAGCCTCTTGCTCAAAGCCTTCTGCAGCAAAAGCTGCTGGAAAGCCTCATAAATTGAGAGCCAGTTAAGCAGTCAGAGCCCCCAAAGATTTCAGCTGATGATGGAGAAACAATTTATAGCATGTGGGACAGCAGGTTTAGGAGGACAAAGAACTCCGCTCCATCTTTAGGAATGTATCCTTATATATTAAGTGCTTTAGAGCCTCTGCTTGTATCTCCCAGGAACAACAAAAAATTAATACCTGAAGCTCATCCCTCAGAAGCTGCTGTCCTTGGCTTAGGAATCCGTTTGGCCCTCTCCAAAGCACAGCCTCTTTCTCTATTTTGCCTGGATGGTGTTTGAGCCCAGCTTGTCAGTCAGCAAATCCCCAGGGCTACAAGAGTATGAAGGGGACAATTTCTCACTCCAGGCTTCCATTAGAGTTGTTGTTGTTATTTGCAGACAGACCAGCTAGCTCCCTGCAACAACAGAGGCACACATCCCTCAGCATTCTTCAAGCTCTCCTAAGGCCTCCTTCTGCAACATCTCTCAGAAAGAAAATGTGGCCCTAACTTTATAGGGAAGGATGGGAGGCTACAATGACAGATTTTGAGCTGAACCTTAGAAGTCATTTAGTCCATTTTATGGATGAGGAAATGAAGGCCCCAGGGAGGAAAAGTGACTCGCCCAATGTCACACATGGAGTGACAAAACTAGGATTTCAACAGAGGCCATCTGACTCCAAATTTAATACTCTTTTCACTATGATCACTATAATCTCTGCTTTGGGCAGCAGAGATTCTGAACCATCTTAGAATCAAAATATGATAGACTCTCAGGGACTCAGAAAGTCATAAGGTATCTCTAGTCCAAACTCCACCTGAGTCAGAAAGAATCCCCTTGACAACATGCCCAGTGAGTCACGCATTCCCTCTCTAAAGACCCTCTGAGAAATACTCCTTCTCAAGGCAATTCATTCCACCATCAAAGGACATCTGACTGAAAATGACCTCTTTGCCCCTTCTGTTTGTTGACTCTAGTCCTAGCTGTGGGCCCAAGCAGAATAAGCCTCATCCCTGTCTAGTCAGACCTAGGAGTCTGACCCTTATTTCAGGGATATATAAACTGATCCCCAGAAATATGCCCAAGTAGCTCAGCTAGGATCCGAACACGGAGCCGCTGATGCCTAATTCAGTAATGTTGTTTTATTCTCAATCAGTACAAAAGGGACCCCCCCTTTCCTCGGCTAGGTCAGGCATAAACCACACACAAATGATATTAGGATCCAGCTATCCAGCCATCCCCGCTCTTCCCAGGGGCCCTTTGGCACAGATAATGGAGCTAGTTTAGAACCCGAGTTGGAGCCCAGCTGGTTCCTGATTGAGGAGGAAGCTCCATTGGCCCCATATTAGAATATTACGTTTGGGGCAGGAGGGCAAGGGGCATTTCATTGTAAATATTTATAGGGGTATAACTTCATCTGCAGCTGTAGGCATATGAAAAAGAAGAGAGCAGAGTAAGCAGGATTACCAGTTCTTTGCAAATGAATGTATTTGCCTTTTCAGGGCAAAGAAGGGTGGGGCACAAGCCAAATCCCTGCCCTGCTGCCCTCTCATCTTTTAGCAGCTGTTTAGGTTGGCTGGACTGCCCAGAGAAAGAGAAGGGATATCATAAGAGACGCTATCTCCCCCACTAATGAAGGAAAGGAAGGGGGCTGGGTTGGGGAGGAAGGCGGGGAATGGATAAAGAGGAAGTCATTGCAGCCTCGGGCTGTACTCAGATTTTGCACATCTACTATTGCTTGCTGTAGCCAGGGTCCTTTTTTGTAAAGAACCCCGCGCCCCCATTCTTGAACAAAAGAAACAGCTGTTAGCTGCAGTGGGTCAATGCTGCCCCCTGGTGGTTCTGCTCTGAAGGAGGTTCACCACAAGCTAGCTGGAAAATAAATAGTTCTCCCCTCCCAGTTCTGGGACTGCTCCACAATGCTCTGTGGTTCTGCTGGAGATGAGCAGTGATTGCCCATGTTTGGGCAATGCCTAGTGGGTCATAGATTAATAGGGCTTAGCAATGGAAGACACTTGACTCTCTAATGTAATCTCCTTGTTTAACAGAGGAGGAATCTATGGGAAAGGGTTTGCCCCAAATTGTAGATGTAGTAAGTAGCAGAGCTGGGTTTTGAACCCAGTTCTCCTGACTCCGAATTCAGAGTTCTTTCTATTATACCTCACTTCCCCACTAGATGATTTTTCAAAAGAATTTCCCTCCCAAACAACCCTGTGGAGCAGGGACAAACATTATAATTTCCGGTTCACAAGTCAAAAAACTGATCTTCAGCAAGGTTCAGTGACTTATCCAGATTTAGAGTGTTGATAAATGTAAGAAACTGGAACAATAACACTAGAGCAGAAGCAACACTAGCCAAGCAATAACACTGTTCTTCATCTTTAAAAAAAATAGTTCCACATAGTATTTCTTGAATGCAGATTAGACTAATAGATTTCAAAAGCTAGTTTGCAAAGGTTTCCAGTTTTCTAAATTCAAACAGGTCACAACTCTACAGGGTATCAGCTCTACCCTTCATAAATACCCTCTCCTCCACCAAGATAGATATGATATCCCAGTAGATGGCAGGAGACACCATCCTTCTTTAAGATTCCCAATTCTCTAACATGGAGAATTGATGTTTGGCTTTGCACAGATCACTCTCCTCTTTGGACCTTGGCTTCCTCACCTGTAAATTGAGTGAATTGGACCTAATGATCTCTGCTGCTCCTTCCAGCTTTAACAAACCATGACTCCATGAAATCTGGCTCCTAGAGCAAGCTTTCCCACAGCTAGCTGTAACAACTTGGGAAAAGCACTTCTCCTTTTCTGGACCTCTTTTTCCTCTTCTGAAAATTAATGGGTTTGGACCAGTAGACTTCTAAGATACATGCTACTTCTCTATTCCTGTGCTTCTAATGCTGTTAGGATATTAATGTATCTAAATCTTTCTGGATCCTTTATGTTTTCAGCCTGTGCTTTGCACACAACCTTGAATACTATGTCTGTCCTAGCTGAGCTCCTACAAACCCTCATAGGACATCATCTCTTGGCTTAACATCATTAACAAAGACCAGACTGTGAATAGTCTTGGAATGAGCCATTTGGTTTCTCTTTTTCCTAATACTATCCTTTAAAGATGTTGGACTGAGGAATTTCAGTGTAACTAAGGATGAAGAGGGGAGTGTTCTTAAATAGAAATGGAAAGAACACTGCATTTAGAGTCAGAAGATATGGATTCAAATCCAAGCTCTTCTCCTCTTTACCTGTGTAACCTTTGGAAAGTCACTTAACTTCTCTGGGTCCTATTTTCCTCATCTGTTAGGTGATGGGGTTGAATCAGATCATTTCTAAGACCCTTATTCAACTCTATATGCTATGATGCTGGGATAATATAGGGGAAAGCACACAAGACTTGAAATCAAAATTAATAATTTGAGGCCTGGCTCTTACACATAATAGCTATGTGATTTTAAACAAATCACCTAACCTTCCTCATCTTGATTTCCTTTGTAAAATAAGAGCATTTAAGTATAGAAATATATCATCAGTAGGAAGGTAGGTAGGTCGTGGTGAAAGTGTCTTGCAAACCTTAAAGTACTAAATAAATGTGAGTTCTTACTGTTAATAATAAACCTTAAAGCACTATAAGAATGTGAGCTATTATAAGCTATAAAATTCTATAAATACGAGATAGTATTCTAAATGTTCAGTGCAATGAGCCCTTTACTAGGATGCTGTAAAACACTGCCCTCTGGTGGTCCTAATACTACCAAAATGTTTTTCTGCCTTTTATGCTGCCTTCATCAGTGAAGAAGAGATCAGGGTTCAAAAGGCCTTCAGCCATGTTAGGGCCCTGTGCATTAGTTCTGGCACAAAGGAAAATCTGGTGAATAATGAGTCAGAATCAATGAAAGTTTGGGACATTCAACATGCATAAGAATACTAGCCATTTTTCCTCCTCTCTTTAAACCAACAGTACTTAATCTCTCTCTCTCTCTCTCTCTCTCTCTCTCTCTCTCTCTCTCTCTCTCTCTCTTTCTCTCTCAGATGAGGCCTTTGGCAATCTAATGAGGCCTAGGACCCCTTCTCAGAATAATGTCTTTAAATGTGTAAGATAAAATGCCTAAGTTTACAAAGGAAACTAATTAAATTGAAATATAGTCATCAAAATGCATTATTAAAAAAAAAGGGTTCATGGCCCCACATTAAGAACCTTTGTTAAATGAACTAATTCCAGCCACAGACAGGAAGAATGATATATAATGGGCTCAGTTCTCAGAGGACTAGGATTGTAGAAAGACATGAAAGGAATATCGATATAGCTCACACTGAGGGAGAAAGTATAAAACTGAAGAATATTTGCTCTGGAAAGGGACTTAGAACATAGAATGCCAAATCTGGGAGGGATCTTAGAAGATTAAGCACTCAGTTTCAGAGAGTGAAGGGCCTTCCAACAGAGAATAGCAGGAAAGAACTCTATAAGGTAGGAGTTTAGAGGTGGAAGGGGCCTTGGAAATCACCTTATACAATCCCTTCATTCTAACAATAATTTGTACTCGAACAGCAATCACTCAATCACCAAGCAGTTACTAAGTCCCTCTGATGTGCTAGGCCCTTTGTTAGGTTCTAAGGATGCAAAAAACAAAAATCAGATGGTTCCTGATCACAAAAAGTTATATTTGCTGGAGAGATGTGCATGCACATTACCCTCTTTAAGGCTTATAAAGTGATTTCTTCACAAAAACCAGCAGATACTTAGTACAAGATTATTATCACCATTTTATAGAATTGGAACCTGGGGTTCCAAGAGATTGTGATTTCCCTAAGGTCACACAGAAAAGTAATGGCAAGGCTAGGATGAGAAGCCAAGTCTACTGATTCCTAGTTTCCTTTGCCTGCTGAAAGGAAGCACGCACTTTTCCTCCTGTGACTCTCCTTCTGGTTGTATAGGGTACATCTGCAGAAGATTAGCCATGAAAGCAATAGCCTTATTCATTGCTATCTGCTTCTAGCCCCTACCCCATATAGCTTAGTTTGACCAGAGAAGCCAGGAGAATAGGCCTCTTTAGGATTGGAGGTACGGACCTAGGGAAGAATGAGGCTGAGAAGCATAAGATTTGGTTATGACACGACAGGACAGCTGTCTATGCCAGACTCTGCAATCTACATGTAGACAGGAACTCTCTCTCTGTATCTCTGTCTGTCTGTATTTGTCTGTCTCTCTCTTTATCTCTCTGTCTCTGTATCTCTCTGCCTCTGTCTCTCTCTTTGTCTCTCTGTCTCTGTGTCTCTCTGTCTCTCTCTTTGACTCTGTCTTTCTGTCTCCATCTTTTTCTTTGTCTCTATCTCTGTTCTCTCTCTGTGTCTCTCCTTTCCCTCTGCTCCCCCTCCTCTCTCTCAAGAATGTCTGCTACCTATAAGCATGCTTATTTAT